CTGCTAGTTCAATATATTGATGGATTATAAATAGTATTTAAGTCAGAAACATTTTAGTGTAGCACTCAGTATTTGCAACTTACTTTGCAAGTCTATTTATTTACAAAAATTCTAAGAGATGGTTGAGTATTACGCTTCCTTTTCTACAAATGGAAAAGCCAAGTTAGAGAGAGACTAAAACGATTTGTCCAAGAGCACTTGTAACACCATTAATGTAAAAATTTCATTTCATCAAGTAATATAAGTTGTCTCAAGCATCCAGAGAGAGACTGAGGCTTTCACCAGCTCCTGGTGAGGCCATCTACCCCCCACTGGCAGGAGTGGTGGGGCTAGAACTCTCTGTTTTCTCCCAAGAGCCTCATGTCAGCATCTCCCCCGAGGCCACTAGGTTTTGTCATATATCATCAGGCTAGAAATATCCCTGACTGACGTGTCCTGTTGATATCAGTCACCAAAGAGGTCCTTGGCCCCCTTGTCAGTTCTCTAGTCTGACCCCCAAACCCACACACAGCTCTCTACATTCCTTTTCTCTATCATGTCCTTCAGCTTCTCCACTCCCTGAGACCCTTCCCCCATGCTTGGGAAACTCTGGGTCAGGGAGTAGTAACTGCCCTGTAACTTCAATCTACTCTTTCAGCGTTTCTCACATTCTTCCCTCACTGAAATTTGCTCAGGCCTGAGAACAGCACTTCCTCTTCTGCTCCCACAAATGTTTTCTCTGCCATACTCTTTGTACCACCAAGTATTGCTCTGCAATCCCCCAAGGAGAGCAGTTTCCCTTTCTCCTTCTAAAACCCTCCAGCTTTGAATTTCAAACCATCATCTAGTATGAGCTATTTCTCCTTTTGCCATCAGCTCCTAATATCCACTGCCCAAGATTTCTCCCTTTCTCTTCCCCCTCTCTGCCCCATTTCTCAAAGCTTCAGTTCTTGACTCACTGTAAGTCTCTCCAAGTCTGCTCAGGTGATAATTCTGGAAGATCTCAGTGTCCACACAGGCCATACTTAACACCTGGCTTCCCAAGTCCATGACCTCAACTTCACCAGTCATCCTGTCCTCTATCTCAAACTTGGCCACCAACATTTCTCGTCCTTCCATGACCTTGTCATTGACAATCACTGCACCACCTGCACAATCTCAGTGTCAAGTATCACATTCTTTGGCCAACACCTCCTTTTCCAGCTAAACTCTTCCAATATCCAAACTCCAAAAACTCCTTGAACTCACTGGGACCAGTAACCAATGGACCCTACTACCTTCTCCCCATCCCTTTCTCCTCTCATCCCACTTCTGTGTTTACCCAGCTGAAATCTCATCCTCAGTCATTAAACTCACTCCCTTAGGTCCACCCTCACCTCCTTTGCTTCTCTCTTGTTTTTGTTTTACTTGGATGGCTGGTTAAACCGAACTCATTGTCTTTTCTGCCTCTGTGTCTACACAATTGAATGTGACAGAACAACACCCAGGCTTATTGATCCCACTCCAAATTCATTCATCTCCTAAGTTTATTCTGCTTACTGTCCTAAATGACAATTTCATTATCTTTTCCTCTCTCTGTAAAGCTCTTTCTTCATCTTCACTCTCAGATGATGATTTTGCTTCCTATCACTGAGAAAAGAGGAGCAACCAGCAAAGACCTTCCTACACATTCTGCCTTCCCCATTGCTCCCAGGTTGAGCTGCCCACACTCGTCTCAGGCCAAGCCTACACTCAAATAGTTGTCGAATCAAGGCCATTGCTCCTGAAATTCTCCCCTCTCTTCTGGACAATCAATCTCTCAATTTCTCTACCAAATCATCCCCATCAGCACATAAACATGGTGAATTTTTTCCTGTAAAAAAATTTTTCTTGATCCCACATTCCCCACCCCCAGTTACCTCCTTCCTTTGCTTTTTTTTTACAGCTAAATTCCTCCACCAACCAAAAAAGTTATCTATATTTGCTCTCTCCCATTCCTCTTTCCCTTCTCACATGAACCCCATTCAGGCAGGCTTTCACCCTCACCAGCTCACTGGTCAAGGTCACCAATGACCACCAACTTTCTAATTCCAATGCTCAATTCTCATCCTCTTCCTGCTTGATCAGCATGTGGTTGGATGATCAGTCCTCCTCCTAGAAACACTTTCTTCCTTTGGCTTCCAGTTCACACTCTCCTGGATTTCTTCCCACCTTATTCCAACTATACCTTATGCAATCTGGCTCATTCTTTCCACCTCACCTCACCTTCTACAACCCTTCATTTTGCTCTGACCACTCCAATCACACTGGTCCCCAGACTGTTCTCCATGGGCTAGGTGATGGCCATTTCTGAAGTTCTGTAATCACCTTATTCTCTATCTGGAAATCTCTTTTCCTAGATGTTACCATGATGTTTTCCTTTACATCGTTAGGTCCTTACTCACATATCACCTGCTCAGTGAGACTTTTCCTGTCCATCTTATATAAAATTTTGCCTCTTTCCTCAGCATTCACTATCCCTCTTCTCGGTTTTATTTTTCTTCATCACAATGATAATCATCTAACATACTATATACTCAACATGTTTGTGTCTATATAACATAACGTAGTTTTCCTTACTAGAACATGAGCCTGATAGGGATTTCTCTTCCAGTCCTCTATCCCTGTAACTGAAAATGGCATAGAGCACACAGTAGGTGCTCAATAAGTATCTGCTGAAGAAAAGAAAGAAGGAAGAAAGGAAATGTGATTTTTTAGGAAATAATAATCAATATTGCCGTGATGTACTACACTGCCTTATTGCCCAACTAATCAGAGTAATATTGATTTTGACTGTGGCTTGATTAATTTTTCTAGGAGAATGCAAAGTGGCCTGAATTTTATGCAAATCTAAGGAGATGATTACAGTTGGCTTCTTTCTCTAATAATCACCCAATGACTCTAAAACAAATATGGAAACAATTTGCAAATATTGGTACAAGTTGGAAGAGAAGGCTCCATTATCTGAGCAGAAAGTCAGGGTAACAATCAGTGATTCTTGTTTTAAGAAATCTTTTTCAGGCTTCCACAGGAAAATGACTGTGAGATACAGGTGTTTTCATAAATAAGTATGCTTGGGGGAGCTGCTTACCAACTTTTACCTGCAATGGAGGCTATCTGAGTTTGCTTATATTTAAATAAACATTACGCACGCTATTCTGGAAATTTGCAGCATGAAAAAATGGAGACACTCCAAAGCGAAAAGTGACAAATGTTGGAGAGGTTGTGGAGAAAAAGGAACCCTTATACACTGTTGGTGGGAGTGCAAACTGGTGTAGCCACTATGGAAAACAGTATGGAGATTTCCTAAAAAATTAAAAATAGAAATAACTTTTGACCCAGCCATCCCACTACTGGGTATCTATCCAAAGAACTTGAAATCAGCAATTCCAAAAGTCCCATGCACCCCTATGTTCATCGTAGCATTATTTACAATAGCCAAGACATGGAAGCAACCTAAGTGCCCATCAACTGATGACTGGATAAAGAAGATATGGTATACATATATACAATGGAATACTACTCAGCCAGAAAAAAAGATAAAAATCATCCCATTCACAACAACATGGATGGACCTTGAAGGTATTAGGTTAAGTGAAGTAAGCCAGATAGAGAAAGACGAACTCTGTATGACTCCACTCATAGGTGGAAGTTTAACATAGAGACAAAGAGAATTGATTGGTGGTTACCAGGGGAAAGGGGGGGGTGGGGGGAGAGCGCAAAGGGGGAAGTGGTGCACCTACAACATAACTAACAATAATGTACAACTGAAATTTCACAAGGTTGTAAACTATCATAATCTTAATAAAAAGTTAAAAAAAAATGGAGACATCCTGTAACCTGTTAATTTAAGGGGTTGGAAATGATTTCAGTTTTTTATCTTGCTTGAATTAACCCCTTTCTGCGTTTAATCTCATCTTAGAAATGGGCAGTCCCACTTTGCAACACACTCACACCAGAGAAAAACACACAGAGCAAAAACTCGTCAACAGAACTGAGCTGCCACATCTCCGTTGGCATGTTCTCTGGTCAGAGCTGGCAAAGACTACCTTGGGAATAAAAGTCAATATGAGAGTGTAAGGTAGGTTAACCACACGTCCTCAGCTACTTGGTATAAGTATTTCAAGGATAACTTGACACCAAGATTTAACATAATAATATAGAATCTGTAATTCCGTAAAAGGATTAAGAGATTCATTTTTTTTTCTATTTTATTTTTCCTTTTTTGCTCTCAAAGACCCTGGGTACATAGTTGTGTATTTTCAGTTGTAGGTCCTTCTAGTTGTGGCATGTGGGACGCTGCCTCAGCGTGGTTTGATGAGCAGTGCCACGTCCGCGCCCAGGACTCGAACCAATGAAACACTGGGCCACCTGCAGTGGAGTGTGTGAACTTAACCACTGGGCCACAGGGCCGGCCCCAAGAGATTCATTTTTAAGCAGTCAAAAGTATATGTATGTGTACGTATATGTGTAACATTTAGTACCCTGAATTATTTACTTAGCACATCTATCTAAAATCCGACATGTCTTACTGAAGACCTCACGGCATCCGTTTTACTGAAGTCACATGTTCACATCCATGGAGAAAGGTGCTGTAGTGAAATATAGATAATACACACAAAGTACAAAAATCTGGTGAAAAGAGCTTGCATATCCACCCACAGACACCAAATCAGGGCTGTCTGTGACGATCGATCCCTCAGGCATAATTCACCTCATCACTTATTCGTTTGCTTATCTGCCACGACGTGGTACCTGCTTACCGCTGGCGTCCTGAGATGAAATGCTCTGGCAGGTAGCAGATGTACCAATTAATAACCTGTCAGGTCTGATGGATAGAAGAGGAAGAATGTCCTCACACATTTCTCCAGCGTGGCTTTCTTCCCCATTTCAGGGCCCCTAGGGTCAGAAGACACACTCTGCCTCCTGAAGAGAGTGTGGACTATCTCATTAGTGTCTATCTTTCACAACACTCTGGCACAGCCTTCAAGAAGCTGACTCACCTGCTCTTCCCCAAGAATCCTGAAGTGATGGAGCTCTTTAATCAAGGAGTTGGGGCAGCCAGCTGGTGGAAAAAAAGAATTAATTACAAATACGTTATTCCCATTCTAGGGCAGTAATATGTTCTTACATCCAGTTATGACTATCGATGACCAGTGTTGTAGTTTGGGAGCACATAAACGCCTACCTGCAAAACACATTCTCATCAACCACAAAATAGCCAAACCTCCGAGGGAGCCCTGGCTGCTGCCTGACCCCCGACTGTGACTCTAGGAAGGAGCCACAAATGAGGCTGGCCAGGCCTTTTCTCGTCTCTGGATTGTGATCTGGTCTTTGTGGGGCCTTAGGGTACCATGTCTTTCTGCCCAGCATGTTACTTGTCCCTAATATAGAGCCAGGATTTTCTGGGGCCAGAAGGAGAGAGCTGATAAGTGTAGGTTCATTTCATGTATTCATCACGTCCTGTTTCCTGCCCTCCAGGCTGGGGTCCAGCACACCGAGAATTAAGAATGAAAATAGGGCGGGTAGACGCCCCATCTTCATGGGATTTGGCTGTGGTTGAGAACCCTGCCTGGTGCTTCCAGGAAGCTTTGTCAAGACCATAAAGATCCCGCATTTCAGTTTGGAAAGGGTCTCTTATGGAAAGGACCCGGGAGGAGGATCGTGACAGTCTTGGTGGCCATCACCTTCTAATTCTACCCAGTCAATGAGAGCCTGTTTTAAGCTTTCGAATTTTCTTTTTTTCTTACCTTTTTTTTTTTTTTGAGGAAGATTAGCCAAGCGCTAACCTCCACCACCAATCCTCCTCTTTTTGCTGAGGAATATTGCCCCTGAGCTAATATCCATGCCCACGTTCCCCTACTTTATATGTAGGATGCCTACCACAGCATGGCTTGATGAGTGGTGTGTAGGTCTGCTCCAGGGATCTGAATTGGCAAACTTGGGCTGCCCAAGCAGAGCATGAGAACTTAACCGCTAGCCACCAGGCCAGCCCCTACATTTTCTTTCTTCACTTGTAAATAGAAATAAGTAAATCAATCCATCATATTATCTATATGTGCCAGTGTATGCTAGTTATCCTTTAAAATGTGTTCCATCCCTGTCTTTTTAATAGAATTATTCCACAGTATTAATTTGTAGTCATTTATAATATTAAATCTGGAAACAAAATTGATATAAAAACCTGTTTCTTTGAGATAAGATCTATGGATTACATAATTGGTTGAAGTTTCTATTACGGAAATTGGCTTGTATGCAAAATGCGCCAAAACAATCACTGAGCTGTTTCTCCTGTTACTCAGCATTGTGATGTAAGAATGGTGGACAGTGTTGACGACTTTCTCTGGGGGAGGGCAGGCTGAGGAAGGAGGGAATTGTCTTCACAAGGGTGAAGAAGTTATCCTTTGCAAGAAAGATTAGATTTGTGCATTATTCTAGAAGGTATGATTAAAATCAACAGGTAAAAATTACAGCAGGCAGGGTTTTGGTTCAATACAAATAAATTTCTAATTTAAAAGTGGAATACATTGCCTTGTAAGCCAGTAACTGGAGGTTTTCAAACAGAGGCTAAATGACTATTTATGCAGGATATTTTAGAGAGGAAATATCTGGTTTGACTGGGTTAGTTCTAGTTCCGAAATTCTGTGATCATGTAAAACGCTGGATCATAGTTTTAGTCTTTGATATTATATTTGATATAGTCTTGACATTATAGCATTTCATGCTTTGAGAAAGTGATTCATAAATGTTCATTAAGATAGTACAAAAGATTGAAAAACAAAAACGGGTGCTATCACCTGAAAATAGTTCAGGAAAATAAATGAAAATCCTGAGGTGAATATTTTGATGGAAAATGTGGTAAATTAATTGCCATAGGCACGTCCAATACTACAAAGAAGGAAAGCAAGATCCTTAATGTTAGAAGATATACTTGATATGTGTTTCTCCAACTGGAGGCCACAAAGACTTGGAGTCTGAAGAATCTTTTTGATGTGCTGTTCATTTCAGAGTTGCTATTCTGATGATCATCTAAATAATTAGTAAAAGTGTCTTTTGGGTCATTTGGTTGGCCACAATTCAACCAAAAACTGCTGTGGAAATTCAGCCACCTGTCAATTCTTGAGTTTTAGATCTCCTTGGGAGCAAATGGTCCTATTTTGGTTTCGTGAAACCAATGAAGAAAGAACAGAAGCAGAGAGAATTCCAGGTGCGTCTCAACATGTGAGGGTCCCCTGGTGCTGTGCCAAGTGTATAAGGGGAGGGATCACCATGAGAAGTGATTGATAGAAGAATTGAAGTACTACCTAGCACAGGGTCGTAGGTGTGCTGAGATCAGAAGACCCAGGAAGGCCCTGTTCCATCCCAAGCAACAATTTAATTTCAGTAAGATGACAGCATCTGTCAGATTAAATTCATACAGTTAATTTGGACTCTTTTGGTTTTGTGCTTTCATTCTCATTTAATTTACAAATTTTCATTTGGGCCTTCTTATTGTATAAGCATAACATGTTTATATAAATTTATATCTAGCCATATTTAAGAAATATTATTTTAAAAAATAAGTATTCAATCTTAGAAGTTTTGGAGGATTTTTTTTTTTTCATTTACAGTGGTCCTTCATATCCCACAAATTTGAGAAAACTGATTTGACTTATTTTAATGGCAGGTAAAATAAGAAACAGAATTTAAAATTAGCCTGTCTTCAGAATTTGTATTCTAACATTCTCCTAAGACATAACTGAAAGGATTGATGTCAGTGATAGCTCAAATATAAACATCTTTAACGGAAGACTAGATAATTACCTGAAACACCTGGTAGGTGCAATAAAATGTAACAAACAAGGACAGATATAGCATGTAGTTAGAAGGGAAGAGTTGTAAGGGGTCAAGATATTTAAGAAGACCATGGAGGGGTATCTGTGTGCTCTTCACAGGGACATCAATGTGGGAAACAGACAGATGCAAACTTAGTCTGAAGACAAACTAACAAAATAAAAGACAAAATAAAATAAAATAAAACAAAAGACAAAATAACAAAACTAGAAATGCAAGACACGCATACAGAATGCAGTAGTGTGACAAAGAGGGGAAAAAGGGCCTGCCAATTAAAGATGATATGCAAGTAGGTGTTAATGGTGGTAGTGTACGCTTGTTTTATCCGAAATCCCCACATGGGGTCTACACACACATGACAATGGATCCTCCTCTTTTGAAGCCGTGGCTGTCTACTTGGACCACATTGTATGCTCACGGCACCCAGCATCATCTGCCTTCATGCCCCCATCAGTCCGTCTCTTCTTGAGATAACAGTTAAAAGGATTCTCTTAAAATATGTATGGGTTTTCCATCTCACTAAGAGTAAATGCCAAGGTCCTCAGAGTGGCCTATGAGGTCCTCCACTGTCTCTGACCCCTCTCTCTCCCTTGCTCAGTGCACTTCAGCCATGCTGGCTTGCTCATCTTTCTCTGTTGCTGACCATCCCAGGCAGGCTGCTGTCTCCAGGCCTTGGTATATGCCATGCCCTGCATCTGGAAAGCCCCTGGCCCTGATACCTGCATGGAGCACTCCTGACCTCCTTCAAGTCCTGCTCAAATGTCACCTTCTCAGTGAGGCCGTTCGGGACCACCCTACATGAAATTGCAGCCTATTTTCACGCCCCCACACCCCCGTCACTGCTCTACTTTCTCCAGGGCACTCATCATCTTCGAATGTGCTGTGCACCTCAATTACTTTATTTTCCGCCTCCCACTGCTGAAATACAAAGGTGACAAGTGCAGGGATCTTTGCTGTTTTGTCACTGCTATATCAGCCATGCCTGGAACAATGCACGGCTGTACAAAGTGTCCAATGGCAGGTGCTCCATGAATATGTCATCTACCATCTAGCCAGTCTCCATCTAGCTCGGTCGTTATGGCACCTGGGAGGGGCTCCTACTCCAGCCTTCCTCCTCTTTTCTCATCCCAGAGTCCCCAGCTCTGACCTCCAGCCTGTAGGTGCTTTGTTTTTATTGGTTAAGTGGTCTTCTCCTGACCTCTCACCTCTCTCCCCAGCCTGGACCCCACATGGGAAGATCTCAGTGATGCTTAGAATCCGTAACTCCTTTGTACTTCTACTGGAACTGCTTTGCTGATATCCAATATCCAGCTCTGGATAAATGCCACCACCTGTTTTTCCTTCTCCTGTTTCATTCCTGCTAATCACAGCTAGTGTAACAAAATGGGGCTGGAAGATCTTCTAACTGAAATTCACAGCAGCTACCAGAAGCTGCGACCTTGTTGAGAGTGGAGCCACTGCAGATTCGGGTCCACTCCCTGCTGAGCCCTCGGTGCAGCTTGCCCCCTCACTTGTCTTTGGTCAGCACTCCCTCCCATCTCTCTCAGGGACTCTTCCAAATCATCACTATTCTTCTCAATTAGCCTCTGAATACTTCATTCTCAAAACACCACCTCACGTGATACAAGTCCCAAAAAGGAAAGCTATCGCAGTGGACATGGAGATGAGGGGCCCGGACGCCCTGTGAAGAAGCTGTGGGAAGACCTTGAGAAGCCTCCCCCTGCACGCTGGTCTTCCTCAGCTGCAGAGAGTCACCTTGCCTGAGGACACACTTTCCTTAGGGCCCCAAATCTGCTGACAGGGTGATGGGGAGGTTGAACGTCCAGCTACTTTGTCCCAACATGGGCTACTGATGGGCACCCCTGCTCCACCTCCTGCTGGCTGCCTGAGGCTTTCTTGGGCCTACATAGCAGTTCAACTTCTTACTCTGCCCAATCCTGCTCCCTTCTCCTCCTTTCCCAGGTGTGATCCCAATAAACATCTGTACGCCACCCTCTGCCTCAGACTTGGCTTCCAGAGAGCCAATCTTGTGGCAACCATCAAGTGTACCATCCCTGAACTTCATGTTCTTTCCCAATCATAACCCCCATTCCATCCCTCTCTAGTCCTCCAGGGTGAAATGGGAAAGGCTCCTCCTCCTCAGAACAAGAGTTATTCTTCATCCATGCTTACTTGTCCCCTCTCAGTTCCTTGTAGGCTTAACTTACCACTCACTCTCTGTTCTCAAGCTCC